GGGGGGGGCGTCGGGGCCGGGGGGCGGCGCTCCGGCCCGGCCCGGCCCCGCCCGATGTCCATGAGCGCGAACACCATGATCTTCATGATTCTGGGGGCGTCGATCGTGATGGTGAGCGGAGGGGCTTCCCGCGCGCCCGCTCCCCCACCCGCTCCCGCCTCCCGCGCCCGCGCGCGCGCCTCCCCCTCCCGGACCTTGTTTACGGGCCGCGCGGCCTGCGCTCCCCCAACCTCCGGCCTGCGCACCCCCAAACCCCTGGCCTGCGCACCCTTTGCCCAGCCTGCGCTCCCCCAGACCTCCGGCCTGCGCACCCGCAAGCCCCGGGCCTGCACTCCCTCAAACCTCTGGCCCGCGCTCCCCGGTCCCTAGTTGCCCTGCGCTCGCCCCTCCCCCGGCCTGCACTCCCCCATCCCCAGCGCGCTGTTCTCCTGCCTGGGGGCCCCGGCCCGGCCCGCTCCTCAGCGCTGACCGGTCATGGGCTCTTCCAGGCCATCGCGTGCTTGATGGACATGAACGCGCTGCTGGACCGATTCCACAACTACATCCTCCCGCACCTGCGGGGCGAGGACCGCGTCTGCCACTGCAACTGTGGCCGGTGAGTCCGCGCCCGGCGGGGCACACGCGTGATCACACATGTGCAGCGGTAGCAGGGCCCACTGGGGCTCGTCCGAGCCGCACGCAGGCCAGGGGCAGGACCGCACTAGGCCGGTGGGGGCTGCTGAGGCTGGCACCAGGCTCAGTGGGGGAAGGACTGTCCGGCTTCCCACAGGCACCTGGGGGTTGGCCAGTCGGTTCCGGAGTGGGGAGCTTGCCTGAGTCAGTTAGGACCCCCTCCCAAAATGCCTTTAGAGAAATGGCCCATCAAGGTGATGGGCAGAATGGGCCCCCCTGGCCTCCTGGTCCAGGGCCTGGAGACCAGGAGAGCAGCAGCCTCGCCTGGTGTCCCGGGAGGAATCTTGCGCAGGGCTGTGCTCACAGAGTACACCATCCTCCTCCCTGGGTCCTGACAGTGTCCATGAACTTTCCTGGGACCCAGGTACCGGGATGTGCGGAAGGTCAAAGTGGGCCTGGCCTACCTTTCTGGGCATCTGACCCAAGCCCCTCATTGTGCAGAGGAGGAACTGAGGCAAGGGGGGTGGAGTTTGCTCAAGGTCACTCAGAGAGTGAGGGGAGAGCCCAGGCCCCCTCCACTGCTGTGTGACCCCCATTCTGTGCACATGCAGTGATGGAGTCCTCCAGGCCATGCATGTTTGTATGTCCATGTACGAAATAAACATCTTCTCATGAGATGCGCATGTGTGTACCGTCTGTGCATATACATGTGCGTACACACAGCACACACGCACGTTCGCATGCACACCCTCATCCCCGCAGGACGCCCTCATGCTGGGATCACTGAGGACGAAGACAGGGGCTTGAGAAGATAGAGACTTGCCCAAGGTCACACAGCCAGTAAGGGACTGGAGACTCGGACCTGTGTTCTTTATCCCTGCCTGTATCCTGCTCCAGGGACGTGAGTGCACATGTAGTGGGCAAGGGGTGTGTGTGAGACAGGACAGCTTCAGGCCTCACTGAGCATGCTCCATGCCTACGGGCACAGACGGTGTGTCAAAGCAGAACACAGGTATTAGTGCAAGCAGAGATGAGAGTGTAAAGGACCCTCATGTGTGCTGGCCGAGAACCATCAAGAGGGTTTGCTAGGTGGCCACACGTTCCCCGAGATCCCTGCATTCCTGCCTGGTGCACAAGGCCCAAGGCAAAGTAAGAGCCTGAGGTGAGCTCCCCGAGATCCCTGCATTCCTGCCTGGTGCACAAGGCCCAAGGCAAAGTAAGAGCCTGAGGTGAGCTCCACTGCCTCCTGGGCAGCCATGGCCCAGTGGCTGTAAAGTGGGGTGATCCTGAGACCCTCTGGGAGAATGGCGGTGGGCACGACACTGGGCCCAGAATCTGAGCTCCGTAAACGTTAGTAACGCACATTTTACATGTGTGTGGGCTGTTGTATTGTGACCAGCATGTGTGTGCCCCCGACCTCACAGCAAGTGCCCACCTGGGCAGACAGGGTGTGTTTTCAGAGTGTATTTGCACAGAGGGTGTGTATGCGTCACATGTAGTGTCCAGAGTATGTGTGCACTCATGTAACACAAGTGTCTAGAGAACGCAGGCTGGTGCTAGGCCTGTGTGCACAGGTCAGCATGCCTGTGGACGCAGAAAACACAGAGCGCCACGCTTGCTATAGACATAGAGTGTTTCTGCATGTGTGTTCACACGTGTGTGCTTTGTACACATCATTGCATACAGGATATGTAAATTCAGTGTACAAAGTAGTCTTGTATATTGAAACATATGTGTATGCACAGCACGTGTATATAGTACAATATACAGCAAAGAGTGTGTGCCATGCGGGTATAGCAAATGTGTCTGCAGAGTAGTTTTGCACATGAGATATCCATGTATAAACCATGTACAAGCATTGCCACAATAGACTCTATCCATGTATTATACACTGTGTGCAGAATAAGCATGCACATGTGTGTATGCCTTCTACATGTCTACATGGGGAATTTCATACAGACATGTATGCAGATTAATGCTCCAAAGTATGTGTGCCAGCAGGGTCTGCACACACAAACCCATGCATATGCCGTGGCACCCACAGAGAGGATGGTGTGTGCAAAGCATGTACATGTGATACACACGTGCTGGTGTCAGGCAAGCATGCACATGCACACATATGCAGCTCGTGGGCACAAGTCCATGGTATACACGCCATGTCATGTGCATGTGGCCGGCGTGTATACACAACATGCGTCAGACCTCAGGTAGACACATGCAGCATGCGTGCCCAGGCAGGACACATGTGCACATCACAGAAGTATGTGTGCACACGGGAGACCAGAGCCCCAACCCTCAGGGAGGAAGGAAGGGGGCAAGGGACAGGGGAAGAGCTACAGGTGCCAGGCCAGTGTTGGGGGCACAGGTCATGACCTCTGACCGCCTGGAGGTCCTGAGCCACTGGGGTGTTTGGGGCCCTTGCCTCATCCTACTTCCAGGGCGCCAGGGGCATTTCTGGCTTCGTTGGTGACTCGATCTTCACGTTTCCTGCCCTGACCAGCTGTGTGTCCTGGGGTAGGAAGCAGCAGTCCTGAGGAAGACCCCGTCAGGGCTCCTGGGGCCAGAAGGCTGGGGAAGGAGATGCTGATGATGTTCATGTTATCAACCCCCAAGAGGCCTGGCCTGGTGCCCTGGGGTGATGGGGGCTGCCAACAGGTCACGAAGGGCATCCTCCCTAGGGGGCCAGCAGCTGCTACACATTCTGGGTGGTGATCAATAGTTTTCCATCGGGCCGGCCCCATGGCGTAGCGGTTAAGTGTGCACGCTGTGCTGCTGGCGGCCCGGGTTCGGATCCCGGGTGTGCACTGATGCACTGCTTGGCAAGCCATGTTGTGGTGGCGTCCCACATAAAGTGGAGGAAGATAGGCATGGATGTTAGCATAGGGCCAGTCTTCCTCAGCAAAAAGAGAAGGATTGGCAAGGATATTAGCCCAGGGCCAGTCTTCCTCAGCAAAAAGAGAAGGATTGGCAAGGATGTTAGCTCAGGGCTGATCTTCCTCAAACACACAAAAAAATAGTTTTCCACCACTTATTGATGATTGGTAGTGGCTATTGGTGAACTGGGATCAGATGAGCGATGCGGCCAGGTGTCAGGCAGTCCTTGCTGACTGAATCAGGGCTGGGGGCCGCTGCTCCATGGGGCTGTGGTGACCGAGGCCCCACCCACCATCCACGGGGGCTGGTCACACACTGGACATGCTGAGCAGGATGACCTCCAGGGTCCCCAGGAGGAGCAGGACTGGGTATGAGGAGAGGCCAGCCTGCTGCTGTCCCTGCTGGGCTGGGTTTGGGGCTCCAGGACTCCCTGACCCCAGTGGGAGGAAGGCACTGTGTGGCCCCTGCTGGCACAGGGACATCAGTGAGGGAGGAGCAGCAGGCCCGGGGTCAGGGAGGACTCGTGGGGTGTCCCTTTTTGAGAAGGTTCCTCTGGGGCAGATGTGCAGCATGGCTGGTGGCAAGGGGGAGTCTGGGGATTGGGTCCTATCGCTGCTAAAGACCAGGCAGAGGTGTCAACGCCTAACTGAGGAGAAGATGGGGAGAAGGAGGTTTGGGGTGGGAGGAGCTATTTTTAGGTGCGAGTTTGAGGTGTCTGTAAGATCCCACGTGGAGCCGCCAGCAGACAGCTGGAGCTCGGAGCAGACGGGGGGCGGGGACTCGGGGGTGGG